CTGAGCAGGATGCAGGGGTGATTTCTTCCCTGGGTCCTTGTCCAGATGGATCAGAAGAATGAAGCCACGGACGAAAGGTGGTAGATGAAAAGGGTGGCAATGTATTGGAAGCAAATACAGACTACTGTGCAGGGAGGGGGTCCCAAGGGGATTACCCACAAAGTCCCTTCTTCTAAGGTTTATAAATGCTGTAGTTCCTTGTTTCTTCATGCTCCCTTCTAATTGGTCACTCTTTTTGCAGAATATCAACCTCAAAGCCCACACCCCACATGGTGCCTCCCTCAGTCTCTCCCCCTTATCCTGTAACATTTCTCTATTTCCTGTGAAATCTGTTTTTCTTTTTCTGCCATTTGTAGGCATTTCTCTATCTTCTGTGAAAGTTTGTTTCCTCCCCCCCCTATACCCTTGGCTTTTCCTTATCTTCTGTGAATGGATGTCTTCCTCTCCCCTTATCCTGTGGCACCTCTTTTTTTTTTTTCTGTGAATGTATGCCTTCTGGTGGCTCCAAGCCCTCACCTATGCATTCCTCCCCCATGGACCCTCCTTATTCCTAAAACTCTCTAAACCTGCCTATTTAAGCCCTAATCGGTTTGGCTCAGTGGATAGAGCATCAGCCTGCGGACTCAAGGGTCCCAGGTTCGGTTCTGGTCAAGGACATGCACCTTGGTTGTGGGTACATCCCCAGTAGGGAATGTGCAGGAGGCAGCTGATCGATGTTTATCTCTCATTGATGTTTCTAACTCTCTATCGCTTTCCCTTCCTCTCTGTAAAAAAAATCAATAAAATAGGGGAGCACTATCTCAATTCGTTGAGGTTCTGCTTCCTGGCATATGTCGACAGTTTGGCTCAAATAAACTCACAAAAATTCTTTTAAAAAAAAAATCAATAAAATATATTTTAAAAAAAATAAAAATAAATAAATAAACCTGCCTATTTTATCCCTAAAACTCTTTCAGTCTCCCCTCTGATCAGGAAATTTCAACTGCTGTTGGGGACAAGGGCCAACAATCATTCTGGCTACTTCCTGCTGGACAGGGACATTGATTGGGGCAGTAGTCAAGGTCCCATCGGAGGTGGGCAATCTAGAGGTCTACGGAAGAAAGATGCAGTGGCCTCCATCTGTGGTTCCATCAGGAGGACAATTTGTAGCTTCAGGGCTTCTAAGCTGGAGGATACAAAACATACCAAAAGGTTAAACAGGCAAGGGCCAAAGATGAGTAATAAACACAACACAAACAAAGGTCTGAGAAGGGGAGCTAGCCAACTTCTCAGGGATGGCATCATATCTTTAATTTGTGCCCAGACCTCCGGGGCAAGAGATTGTGAGGCCCTTTCTTTTAGCCAAGATACTTGTTGCAAGATTCGAGTTGTTAGTTCCTCTACCTCTTTGGAGGTGTTTATGTAGATGCAGCAAGAAGTACTAATCATGGCATTCTGTGAGTAAGGACCATGTGTGCTAAAGAATCTATAGACTTCTGGATGTCCCTAAAGTTCTGGTCAGCATCTTCAGAAACTTGAGAAATGGCTCTGGTTAGGTTGGTGACTGTGACTGCATTATAAGTGACTCCCACCATCAATCCAACTATAGCAGTCATTAAAACATTACTCCTAGAACCATGAGAATAATAGGCTCCCATACATGTTAGATTAGACCACCTTATGTGTTGGAAGAGAATTATTGCTGAATGATGGAATTATTGAAGACTCGGGTGGTGGTCTGATTCAGCCTCCGCTGTCCTATAGTACAAGATCTGACACATTCTTTCCAATCTAGATGCTGGGGTCCCCAGGATATTGAATCATTGTCCCCTGCAAACAGATATTCCTCCGGGAGGCACAGGAGGCCAGGAGTAACAGGGATGGTGGAATTGGCATCTAGAGAAGCATCTATCTGTTCGAGTCCTTGACCTAGGTGGGTAGGGAGTTTGCTGTGTAGAACTGATCTCCGGAGATTGTAGTTTATAATAGAATGTCTAAGAAACCAGTTGTATATGTCTTTTTGTGTTTTGTAGTCACAAGCATGGCATGGGGCCTGTTGAGAGAGGCTGCAGGGAAGTATTGTATGGGAGATTACAGGATTTGAATATGGGTATCCAAGACAAGGAGGGTCTGGGGTCTGGTTAAAACTAGGATCTATGTTTGTCATATAAGAGTAACCTCCTACGGTCCTAGTGAAGGCTATATTTTTAAGAGCTTTCGGAACAACGATCAGCAGATTGGAGATGCCCAGAGGTGCTCATGTAAGGGTAAGGCAGCATGACTCTGAGAGGAACATGGGAGATATATATCCAATTGAGATAATCTGACCCTGAATTGCTCATAACACACCCAGCCGTCGGGAATTTGGGGAGCCAGTATGGCTGAGAAATTCGTTAGGACATTAGTTTCCCAGTCTCCTGCTATACTAGGGATACAGAAAAGGGCTATAGGTAGGAGCATTTTATGGTATTTCTGTGTCCCAGCAAGGGCAGAAAAGGTCTCCTTCAGGTACTGGCCTAGGGTTCTGGCAACACTCCGAAAAAGGCAGAATAAGAACTATTAGGAAGATGAAAACAATGATTATCCAGAAATACCAAAGCATGTTACTCATCTGGCACTCGTTGACTCTCCAGGATCCTTTCGAAAGAGAAGTTTCAGGTCTTCCAGAGGTTCACATGAGTAGCAGTCTAGTGATTCAGTTGATGGCAATACATCTTCATCTTCCTCCTGTGCTAGCATCCAACGCTTTAGTCAAGACAGATATATCCAGGAATCGACTCCACTGACCTTGATCACAGCAGGGGCTGGATAAAATTATGAGATAGGGACCCTCCCATCATGGTTTCATAGTAGTAGAGCGGATAGGTAAAGCCTTAATGAGTACCAGATCTCTAGGTGTTAGGGATAGAACCTGGGGTTCCCTGGGTCTGGCTTCAGAGAGTTGTTGTAAAGTCTGCTGAAATTTAGCCAGTGCTGTAATATCTTGTACTAATGCCATGGTTTCCTTGAATACAAGGAAGTCATTGGTAAGAAAAGGATGGCCATAAACATTTCATAGGGCTAAGCCCTCAGTTTTGGGGAGTACTTCTAATTCTTAGTAGGGCTATAGATAAAACTAGTGGCCAGGAGAGGTGAGTTTCCTGGACAAGTTTACAAAGGTGTCTTTTTAGAATGTCATTTGCGTTTTCTACTTTCCCAGATTGAGGCGTCCAGGCACAATGGAGGTGGTATTTTATTCCTAGGGCCCTTGAGACCCCTTGAGTGACCTGGGCCCTGAATGAGGGGCCATTATCGCTCTGGAGAGAGTGTGGCAATCCGAAGCGGGGAATAACTTCTGAAGTTAGAGTTCTGACTACCTCTTGTGCCTTCTCAGTCTTACAGGGGAAGGCCTCGACCCAGTTAGTGCAAGTGTCTACCCACACGACGAGGCATCAAATCCTTTAGCTTTAGGCATGTGGGTAACGCTATCTGCCAGTCTTCCCCTGGATACCCTCCGGTTCTTTGAAGACCGGGTAATGCTAATTCCTGGTTACTAGGACTGTTCCTTTGGCAGACCTCACAAGATTTGACTGCTTGTTGGGTGGTCTTCATGAGATCCTTTTCTGTAAATAATTGCTGAATTATTTGATAGGTCTTTTCTCCCCTAGATGAAATGCCTGGCGCAACGCCCTAATGACCTTCCACTGATTGGCTTTAGGGAGGAGGAGCGTATCCCCCGCGGTCCGTATCCATGCAGTGGGAAGGAGAGTATAACCTCAGTAGTCAGCCCATTCCTTCTCCTTCTGTGTATAGTAGGGCTTACTATCCCGCAGGGAGTCTTCCCAGACTAGAGGGGCTATCGTTTTCCAAGGCTCTTGGGTGGCAGCCTTGGCTGCAACATCTGCCCGCTGAGTTCCCGCTGTTATTTCATCTGTTCCTTTTTGATGCCCCTTGCAATGCATGACTGCAACCTCTGCTGGCTGAAAAGTGGCTGATAGGAGGCGGTCGATTTCCTTGTGATAGTCAATTGGGGACCCATTAGCAGTAAGTAGCTCCTCTCCTTCCAGGTGGCTGCATGGGCATGGAGCACTCCGAAGGCATATTTGGAATCAGTAGAGATGTTAACTCGTTTTCCTTGGCTGAACGCTAAGGCTCTAGGGAGAGCAATTAATTCTGCCAGTTGTGCATTAGTCCCCGGGGGAAACGGCTGACTCTCATTTAAGAAACAACTGCATCTCTGGCTTTTGTGACTCCTGGCTCAACATAAGAGCTGCCATTGGTGAGCACCCGGAGGCTTTTCCTTCTCCAGCTGCATACGTTTGTAAAATAAACCGTTCACACTCGTGCAGAAGCTCTCCACTCTCCTCAGGGAGAAATGAGGCAGGGTTCAAGGCAAGGCAAGTCCTGATCTGAACAGCTGGGCCCTCAAGCAGAGGGCCTGATACCTGAAAAGTCGGCTATCAGAAGGCCATAGGCCTCCCCTGGTATTTAAAAGGGGGATGTGTATACTGTGAAGTCCTGTCCCAAAGTTAGCTTAACTGCCTCAGGGAGCAGGAGAGCGACGGCTGCCACTGCCCATAAGCGGGAGAGCCAGCCCTCAGCCACAGCATCAGTTTCCTTACGCAGATATCCCACGGGCTGTTGGGTCTGTCCTCTAGGTTGGGTCAGACTCCCAAGGCCATTCCCCGCTTTCTGTTACATACAGGTTGAATTCCTGGCCTGTTGGGAGACTTAAAGCCGGTGCCTGCAACAGGGCCTTTCTGAGTTGTTTAAAGACCCCTCGGCCTCAGGTTCCCAGACTACAATGGAGAGGCTGTCTGCCATAGTAACCGTGACAATGATAGGAAATAAGTAGAGGGTGTTACAATGTTATAGCAGAAAATAATTAAAGAGTGTTGTAGGACACGTAGAAAAATACTTGTGTGAAATGTAATATGATGTTTTGGAAAGTAACTAGACAGGAGTGCACCCCATAGATAAGGATTTGCTGTGGAAAGAGCATGAGCGGGAGTGCACCCCATAGATAAGGACTGGTCGGAGAAGCCTGAGGTACAAGCGTGACTCACCCTGGGAAGTCCAGAACCTGTTTTGGTTTAAAGTGTAATTTGGAAAAATATCTTGTACCCTGATGGATTAACACTTGCCCTGACTGATAAGCACCTGTACCATTGACGTAATTGATGGATTTATACCTTGAATCCCTGTACCTGATTGGTAAGTACCTGGATTGCCGTGAGGTAAACCGTCTGGCTATAATAACGGGTCCCGAACCTCAGACATCGATCGACTTGATCTGAAGCTCCCCTGCCCCGTGCCAGACAGAAGACGGCTGCTACCCGATCGAGCCGCGACCGAACTTCGGGAGACCTAGGGCGGTGCAGCTGCGAACTCTGTCTCCTGACCCGACATCGCCAGCTACCAGTCGGCACCACAACTGCCTTCAGGGGAAGCCACAGTTTAGGATCCCGTCAAGCCTGTACCCACAGCACCAAGAATTTGTGTGAGTAATGAAGTGCGGTGTGACTTGCAACTGCATATATTTGCGTGGCGTAATTCCTCCGGCAGTCTTCACTATGGTAATGTAAGGTCAGGTGATGATGCCTGCCCTCAGTCCTGCTTGCCTAGAGTAGTCTCTTCGCTAGCAGCTACTTAACATCTGAACACCTGCATGGTTAACTTTATCTCAGGGACGCCTTGGGTAATACCCCATCTACTCTACTCGGACGCTGTCCTTCTGTGCCTCTTTAACCAGCTGATAAAGTGGGCTTGCTAACTCGCCATAGCCAGGGATGCCCAGAAGCCTCTCAATGGCTCTAGGGCAGTGGTTCCCAACTTTGGCTGCACATGAGAATCACCTGGGAATCTTTTTAAAATCCTGATTTCTGGGCCCCATCCTCCGGAAATTCTGTTTCTTTGTTCTGGGGTGGGTGAGGTCACAATATTAGTAACAAAGATACAGAATTTCCGGAGGATGGGGCCCAGAAATCAGGATTTTAAAAAGATTCCCAGGTGATTCTAATGTGCAGCCAAGGTTGAGAGCCACTGCTCTAGGGTCTGGGGCCAAGGGAAGCCAAGAATAGGGCCTATCCAGTCCTGTCCTAAAGCTCGTGTTTCCTTTGATAGATTAAGGCCTAGGTATTTAACTGAACGGGAACACAACTTGGCTTGGGAGACCTTACAGCCTTTTTTCCACCAGGAAATTTAGTAAAGCCTTAGTCCAGCGGTTCTCAACCTGTGGGTCACTACCTCTTTGGCGGTCGAACGACCCTTTCACTGGGGTCGCCTAAGACCATCCTGCATATCAGATATTTACATTATGATTCATAACAGTAGCAACATTACAGTTATGAAGTAGCAACGAAAATAATTTTATGGTTGGGTTACAACATGAGGAACTGTATTTAAAGGGCCAGAAGGTTGAGAACCACTGCCTTAGTCCCTTTCACGGAGATTTCCTCCAATGGGGCCATAGTAAAAGGTCATCTATATACTGGAGGCCCTTAGTGCTGGGGAAACTAAACTGCCCAAGGCCTTTCGATAAGGCCTCCCCAAATAAATGAGGGCTATCCCTCAAACCCCGGGGCAGCACTGGCCATGCTAGCTGACTGCCCTGGTTATTAGGATCTTCAAAGGCAAATAGGAACTGTGAGTTGGGATGCAGGGGTATACAGAGAAAGGCATCCTTTGAGATCTAGCACTGTAAACCACTCTGTGTCCTCCAGAATCTGAGTAAGCAAAGTATAAGGGTGAGGGGCAACTGGGTGAATGGGCATCACTGCTTCATTTGCTAGTGGTAAGTCCTGATCTAATCTCCATTCACCATTAGGTTTTCGTACTCCTAATATGGGAGTATTGCAAGGGCTGTTACATGCTTTTAACAGGCCTTGCTCCCTTAGGTTGTCTATTATAACCGTGAGTCCTTCCTGAGCCTCAGGCTTGAGGGGATATTGCCTCTGACGTGTGAATGAGGCTGAATCCTTGAGAAGGACCTGGACTGGGGAGGCTGTGATGGGTTGTCCTGCCCTGTGTGGCCCAAACATCAGGGTTCACTTCAGTCTCCACTAGGGGGAGGCATAGGACCTGCTCTGGATACATGTGGACTGTAGTCCCCAGAGGAGCTAGGATATCTCTTCCCAAGAGAGCTGTAGGGCTCTCTGACAGGATTAGGAAGGCATGGGAGAAGAACAGCTCACCCCAGCTACATCCTAAAGGTTGAGAAAATATCTCTTTATTGGCCTTCCAGACACACCTATAATGGTTATCGCCTCTGAAGATAACTGACCAGGGTTAGAAAGAAGTACGGAGAAATTGGTTCCTGTGTCTCGGAGGAAATTAATTTCCTTTCCCTCAACTGTTAGGCTTGCCCAGGGCTCCTGGGTGGAAATAACAGTTCTATGAGGAGCCGGGTTGGGAGATCCTGGGCCCCATCAGTCCTGTTGGGCCAGCTGGGTCGTCGGCCCCGCCCCAGGAGACCTCCATTTCCGGGGGGACAGTCTGACTTCCAGTGGTTTCTTTGACAGGCAGGACAGGGCTTGCAGGGGTGGGGGGGTGGGGGGGGAGGTGTTCACCATGCACCTTGGGGCAACCCCAGCGCATATGTCCAACCTGGCCACAGTGTAACAGGTGGCTGTGACTGACCATTTGCCTCTGGGCTCTAACTGGGAGCCCTTGTTTTCCCCAAGAGCCTTAGTTCTGGCCTGACTTCTCCTTTCCTTTCTATCCTCCTCCTCCTGGTCTCTATTATAAAACACAGAGGTGGCGGCTTTCAGGAGATCGTCTAAGGTGGTCTCGGGGCCGATAGCCAATTTTTGTAGTTTTCTCCTGATGCCTGGGGCTGATTTGAATGATGAATTTATCCTTTAAAATCAACTGCCCCTCTAATGAAACTGGGGTTATACTGGTGTGCTTAACCAATGCCTCTCTAAGTCTCTCCAAAAATGTGGAGGGGTTTTTATTAGCCTCCTGGCTGATGGTAGTTCGTCTGGAGTAATTAATAGGCTTATTTTCCACATCTCAACATCAGGGTCCCACTCTGGGTCTGCATTGTATCTTTCTTTCTCTTCAGGGTTTGTAATGTCTCATACACAAGAACTGTAATAACTGTTGCCAAAGTTTCGAGCCTCTGCCAAAACCTTCTCCTTCTCTGGGTAAGACAAGGCTTGCTCTAGAAGGAGCATTAAGTCCCGGTAAGACAGGACAAATATCTGATTTAGGCTCTGAAAGTCCTCAATATAATTATCAGGATTATCTGAGAATTTACTACCAGGTTTTTCTTTACCTGGCTCAGGTCCTTAAGGCTGAAAGGGGCCTGAACTCTCACACCCAGATTGGCCCACCTGCTCTACCAGCGGGTAGAGACCTTCTGGGTGCCTGGTGTAGGGACTGCCCTGGCTGCCTGCTTTTCTGCAGGAGCAGTTTTTCTGGAGGTCCAGGATAAGGGGAGCAACATGATCCACATGAGGGTTCAGACGGAGGGCAAGAGGGCTCTGGGGTACTGGAGCCTTCTCCTCCAGCGGGTTTTGGTTACTGTTGTCCGGAGGGAGGGATCAAGTTTATAGTTCTTGCATAGATCTGGCTTGTCCCTTAGAGCAAAGAAAGCCTGGACATAGGGGACTTCTGACCGTTTCCCTTCCCTCCTACAGAAAAGATCTAACTGCAGGATGGTGTTATACTTAATGCTTCCCTCTGAGGGCCAACTCTCTCCATTCACTAGTTGGTACGGACGATGGAGGCCAGGCCTGAGGGCAAAAACAACCAGGTGCTTCTTCTTTAAGGTTTGTGGGTTGAAATCATCCCAATTCTTAAGGTTGCACCCTAGGGGTTTGTCTTTACATGGTGTGGACTACACACTTCCCATCTGTAAGAAAACACACCAAAGGACATCCATCATCCTTTGTGACGCTCCCTTGGATGGTGGGGCGTCCTCCCTCCTAGCTAAGGATGCGGGGAGTTCTCACTCACAGGGAGTGAAAGATTGCCTCTCTGTATGGTTGCAGATAAGGGTTGCAGGACTTAACCAGGACTGAACCGTACTTACCACTGGGATCTCAGGGGCTCATGCAGAGCTGTCCTTCCAACTCTCCCTGTCCTGGGGTGTGGTGCATACCCATGTTTGCTCCCTGTGGGTGTGCCCAACAATAGGAATATTTCTCTAATGCCCTTGGGCCCTCTTGTAAAACTGATATTAATATCGGCTGCATGCAGAGTACTTGGAAAGTTGGGGCTCCAACCCTAGAATTCCAAGGGGACTGGGAAGCCCTCCTAAACTTAAATCAACCCCATCAGTAGGCAGCTGCCATTAGTCTCCAGCAACAGTGTGCCTTATCATGCTAATGAATCAAGCTAAGCAATTAACCCCTCGGGCGGGCGAAGTAAACCTCTCATCTTGTTCTCAGTAAAGCTGCCTGGTAAAAACCCCACTCAGACTTAGAGTAGATACTTAAAAGACTAAAACCTTTTTCCTATGTCCTTCAAAAAATGCATGCCTTATGACTTCCATGTTCCTACTCTATCATTTTCCACCCTGACTCTTTCCAACAATCAAGAAAAGTGAGTCACTAGCATTCCTTCGACTGACCCCTATGAACACATGCTGAACACTTGCGCACAATCTGTAGTGCCGAAGCATGCCAGCAAAGGGCGGGGCCGTGCCCTTACTTGCAAGCAGCAGCCTTGTGCTCTCTCTCTCTCTCTCTCTCTCTCTCTCTCTCTCTCTCTCTGCCCCCCAGCCCCTCACTGCATGGAGTCTGGGCGGCAGGGAAGGAGTGCTCAGAAGTGCTCACACACTCTGCTCCCCTGCCCCTGCAACTAAAAAGCACTCTTACACAGGATCTGGGGTCTGGCCCATGAGACAGTGGTCTGGGAGGGGACCGACTGAGATAGGAAGCAGAAGAAAAGGCAGACGACTCTCCGACTAAACCTGAGTGGGATCTGGGCCGGGGAGTGGACTTGTGTTGTGGGTCAAAGTGTGCTGCTTGTGGAGAGGGCTCCCAGGGGAAGTGATGCCTCTGGTAATCTCCCCTCCTTTACGTGCGTCAGTTTCTCTCCCCAGCTGTCTGCTCAGCCCTTACTTGCATTCCCTGGTCGGGTCAGAGTTTAATTACATTTATGTAAGAGCCCTGTGAGGCTGCCTTCTCGCCTTAGGAATTTAATCTCAGGCACCTCCACGAGGGCTCTTACTCACATAAGGACATATGAGTCTCCGACCGGTGGGAGGAATTGCCTCTTTGATCTTCAGAGCTGGGCAGGGACCCAAGCACTCATTTAATTAATGACCGGGCTTTGTCTTGTAACTGGCGGGAGCCTGATGCTCTACCAGTGGTCGACAAACTCATTAGTCAACAGAGCCAAATATCAACAGTACAACGATTGAAATTTCTTTTGAGAGCCAAATTTTTTAAACTTAAACTTATAGGTAGGTACATTGTTATTAACTTAATTAGGGTACTCCTAAGGCTTAGGAAGAGCCACACTCAAGGGGCCAAAGAGCTGCATGTGGCTCTCGAGCCACAGTTTGCCGACCACGGCTAACCCAGTGGTTCTCAACCTTCTGGCCCTTTAAATACAGTTCCTCATGTTGTGACCCAACCATAAAATTATTTTCGTTGCTACTTCATAACTGTCATGTTGCTACTGTTATGAATCGTCATGTAAATATCTGATATGCGGGATGGTCTTAGGCGACCCCTGTGAAAGGGTCGTTCGACCGCCAAAGGGGTCGTGACCCACAGGTTGAGAACCGCTGCACCCAACTCGGCACCAGTTCATCCTCACATGGAGACTTTACATGTGGCAGTCATCCTTGTGGCCCTTCATTTGGCTGACGCCCACCTGCTTTAGGTTGGCCCTTGAGGTGGAGAGTGCGTCTGGGAAGGGATAGTAAGGGAGAAAGGAGAAATGCCCGCATAAGATGGCCGCCAGGTTTAAGTGGCTGGCGAGTGTCTGTTAATGTCTCCAAAATTATAAAGGCATAGCAGAGGAAGGGATAGAGTCCGTGGGTCCTTCGTGTTCCCAGCCAACGCATCAACTGATTCGGGTTGTTTTCCTGAACAGGATGCAGGGGTGATTTCTGTCCCAGGTCCTTGTCCAGATGGATTCAAAGAATGAAAGGTGGTAGATGAAAAGGGTGGAAATGTATTGGAAGCCAATACAGACTCCCATGTAGGGAGGGAGTCCCACGGGGATTACCCACAAAGTCCCTTCTTCTAAGGTTTATAAATGCTGTAGTTCTTTGTTTCTTCACGCTCCCTTCTGATTGGTCACTCTTTTTTTGCAGAATATCAACTTCAAAGCCCAAACTCCACGTGGTGCCCCCTTTTTCTTTCTCTCCCCCTTATCTTGTAACAGTTCTCTATCTCCTGTGAAAGATCCGTTTTCCTCTTTCTGCCATTTGTGGGCATTTCTCTGTCCTCGGTTTCCTTTTTCCCCATTTCCTGTGGCTTTTCCTTATCTTCTGGGAATGGATGTCTTCCTCTCTCCTTATCCTGTGGCACTTTTTTATTTTTTCTATGAATGCATGTCTTCTGGCGACTCCAAGCCCTCACCTATACATTCCTCTCCCATGAACCCTCCTTATTCCTAAAACTCCCCACACCTGCCTATTTTATCCCTACAACTCCTTTCACTACTTTTGCCACTCCCAACAGGTATTGATTCTGAGACTTGTTGCGTGTAAATATTTGACTCAAACTCTTTCTTTGGGGAACCTAGCCTGAGACAGGGCTTCTGGAGAAGTGGCCAATTCCTGGTCTGAAACAGGAACTATACCAGATCAGCCTAATATCGTGTTTTACCAGAAAGCAAGGAAGCTATCAAAGAGCTCTAGGGTCATGTCAGAAGGATTCTGCAGTCAGTTTAGAAAAGCCCTCACTGGTTAAAGATGATCAAATATGAACATTGATAATGATAGAAACTCAATGGATTGATGCTTAAATTCATGACATAAACATACAAAAAACCCAGTCATTGGTCACTTGGGTGAAGGATGCAAGGAACTACCTCTTTAATTTGAAAACTGATAAAGAAAATAAATGTTTTTTTTCCTGTCATTCCTATATTATCTGAAATAGATATATATCTGAAATAGACCTAGATAGTATCTAGATATCTATCTACCTATCTCAGTGGTACTCAACCTTCCTAATGCTGCGACCCTTTAATACAGTTCCTCATGTTGTGATGACCCCCAACCATAAAGTTATTTTCGTTGCTACTTCATAACGGTAATTTTGTTACTGTTATGCATCGTAATGTAAATATCTGATATGCAGGATGTATTGTCATTGTTACAAATTGAACATAATGAAAGCATAGTGATTAATCACAAAAACAATATGTAATTATATATGTGTTTTCCAATGGTCTTAGGCAACCCTTGTGAAAGGGTCGTTCGACTCCCAAAAGGGTCGCGACCCACAGGTTGAGAACCGCTGATCTATCTATCTATCTATCTATCTATCTAGATACGTGATAAGAGAAGACTAACAAAGAAGATTAATAAAGAATAGATGATAGAACTAGAACACCATTTTACAGCCCCTGAATAATTAATGATTTTAAGCCATGATCATCATGTCAGAAACAGAAATACCCAGAAATCATGTACCTCCTGATACATAGTAGGTAGACACCACCACTCTGTAGTGGTCTTGTGGGGAATTTAGGGGGCAGTCGTCAAGTCAGCCCTCACTTCTGGCATTAATTGCAAGTGTGGGGATTCCCCAAACCACCCGTAGTCATGATAGTTCTCCAGAAGGGCTCCCAGAGCTCAGTGAAAGTGTTATACTAACAACTTTCAAGCTAAAGGATACAGATTATAAGTAACCACGGAAGTGCCGACTGATGATTGTTGGCGCCAATTCAATGCCAACAGAAATCCCCAAATTACGGTGCGGTGAAAAAGGAAACTTTTTCAGTGCAAACAGCTCAATTGTGATACAGCAGAGCTGTGAGGGTAGCATGGAACAGCTCCATAGCGTTACAGTTCAATTTTAAAGCAGTGGCTATGGAACAGCACTGCTGTGAGGTGGCCCTGGGGCAAGGCCCCTCCCTGTTTAGACAGCTCCGCTCCACTCCACTTGGTCCAATCCACTCCGCTCTGGTAAACTAGGGAAATGCAGTGTTCAGTCTTTGGTGGAAAGTGAAAGTGTGCTCTCTGAGCCACTGGGGAGCTGACATACAGACAGAAGTCCTCACCCTGATTGGGTGTCCTGGCCCCTGATTGGTTTGTCCTCACGCAAATGAGGACTCCAAATTCTTGCCGTTTGGTCCAAAAGGCACTGTCCTGATCGGTTGGAATGGAGCTGCTCTGATTGGTCGGTGAAGATGCTGATGGGCGTATAGCTGGGTAGCTCCAGTTGGATGGGCAAAATCTCAGTTCTATTGATTGAAACAAGATTCCAGGCACTCCTCTATAAGGGTGGACTCAGATGGCATAACCACAGTGCAGGAAGGCAGTTCAGAGCAGGACGAAGGGAGCTTAGTGCAAGTTTCTCCCTGAAGTATGATTTGCAACAGAGGCCCCTGTATAGAAATGGCTGCTAGGCTGTTTTGTTTTTGTTTTTTACTTTAGACCAATTAGCCACCAGGAGCCCTTCTTAGTAGGTATCTTCTTTCTCAGGGTGCACAGAAAGAAACCAGAAGAGTCCAGGAAAGGTCCAAATATGGACATTCTAGTTGTCCTCTCTCCACAGGGTTGTGCACAGCATTACTCCCAGAATTGTTGAATGACAATACACACAGATCACTGCCAATCAGGGGAGCTCACCAGAGCCTTCCTGTCTAGAGTTTTTATTTGGTTGATAGCCTTCAAAGTTGAGCTGATTACATGTGACCCAAGGCCCCCAGGCAAAAAGAAGCACTCTTATCAGGCACGATATTCCAAGAGATAAAATATTACCTCCCAGAAACCAAAGCCAGACCCCTTGTTGGACAAGATTAAATTTTTACTAAACATCTTGCAAAACAAAAAACAACTCACATTGAATCTGAATCTGTTTAAGCCCTTCATGCAACTAACAATGTACAGGAAACAGGGGATGGAGAACATGTTAAATGACACCTTAGGGCCTCACCCAGGTGGCTCAGTCGGTTGGAGTGTCGTTTGGCACCAAAAGGGTTAAGGTTCCATTCCCAGTCAGGACACATATCTAAGTTGTGGGTTCAGTCTCTGGTTGGGGCTCTAAGCGGAGGCTAGCAATTGATGTTTCTCACATCAACCCTTCTCTCTCCCTCCCTTCCTCTCTCTAAAAATCAATAAACATATCCTGGGGTGAGGATTTTTAAAAATGATACCTTAGGAATGAAGTCAGCAAATCCAGTTTATGGGAAACTCTAAAGGACAATCTTTAATGAAAAAATTGCAAAGAAAAAAGATAAGGAAGAGAAACCTATAGATTAAAGTGGATTTAAAAGACTTATTGCTCTATTACAATGTGTCTTATTTGGATCCTGATCTAAATAGAGAAGATGAAAATTTTATAAGACATTGGGGAAACATGAATGATGATTGGATATTTGATAACATTAAATAATTATTGGTAATTTTTGCATTTGATAATTGCTTATGTTCTTATTCACAGAGTAAAAAAATCTTTTGAAGATACTGAAACATTTGCAGGTGAAATTACATGCCTAAGATTTGCTTCAAAATAACCAGAGAGCCAGTTGTTGGTGGTTGAGATTTGAATGGAACAAGACTGGTTATGTGTTGTAAGAAAGCAAAATATATATATATATATATATATATATATATATATATATATATTGTGTTAGTTCATTTTTGCCACTTTAAAAAATGTAAATGGATATGTAATACAGCTCGGGCACAAGTGGCCTTCCTTTCCTGCTGAGGTGCATGGGTACAGCAGACCGTTCTCAGCCACTCATCGGCCAGTCTTCTCTGGGCCTTTGAGAGAACAGAAGGTGGTAAGTCTGGTTGGGACTAATATACATAGTAGTTGAGGCTATGCAGTCACTGAAAGAGAAGCAGATGTCTGTGTATACAATAAAATGGATATATTTCATCTATTTTTCAAGGGAAATCTGAACAATTTTTGTTGTTGACACGATTACAGATGTCCCCCACTTTCTCCCTTTTCCCCATCTCCACCCAGGCCCCCGCCCCCCGGCCTTCACCACATTAACAGTTTTATTAGGATGATAAATTTAATGTGGATAAACATCTCATAGGCTGATAAACTCAGTGTTTTAAAATTAAAAGCTTCATAATTTTCCATTTAACTCTATTAGTTTATTTTTGTATGTCCAAATATATGCCTATGATAGAATATTAAAGTTATTAAGCAAAGGGAACTTATAAATGGTGAAGAACAGTGTTGTAGGACATGTAGAAAAATAAATTTTGTTGACAGTTACCATGCCAGTCTTTGTACATGAACATGCATATACTCTATCCATCCTGAAGACACACAAGTACTAAAACATGTTCATTTTAATATCAATAACATCTTACTTGTATGCAATTGATCTAGGGAGGTTGATTTGCCAGCTCTTCCCATACTTTGGGCTTGACACACAGTTCTCAGAATACAGACACTATAATACAAAGTGTTCCTTCCCTGGCTAGTATGGCTCAGTTGGTTGGAGCATCATCCCATATACTGAAAGGCTGTGGGTTTGATTCCTGGTCAGAGCACATATGGAAGGCAACCAATAAATGTTCTCTCTCATCTCTCTCTCTCTCTCTCTCTCTCTCTCTCTCTCTCTCTCTCTCTCTATATATATATATATATATATATATATATATATATATAGATAGATATAATCTTTGGGTGAGAATTAAAAGAGTGTTCCTAATGATTTCTAGCATTCCTCCTTTTACAAAATGAGAAAGTAAATCTTTGGTGCTGTCCAAAAGCTGTCTGAGAAGCTGCAAAATAGTTTGGTTGTAAAAGACATCTGTGAGGTTTCCTCATTTAGATCTGGGGCTGAATTTGTATAAGCCAATATAAAAAGTTATCAGAAGAGACAAGATGAGAGCATAGATGCTTAAACACAAGAAACAGTTACAGTCTTGGATACAGTGAAAATACATACCATCAAATAATAAGTACGAGGAACTGTAGCCTTTTAAGAAGTAGACTTTTGTTTAAAAAATTATTTAAGTGCATAACCAAAAAAATACACAAAGTGTTAACAGGTTCTCCTGTAAGTATATTTCAGTGACACCTGGATTCTCTGCTAGCTGGGCACAGAATAACAGACTCAAAGCTCAATATTCTTCTGAAATCCCTAACTTTCTGTGAGAGGGTGCAGGCTGGGCTGAGGGGCCCCTCCTCCCCTGCCCCGAGTGCATGAATTTCGTGCACTGGGCCTCTAGTATATACAGTACGATAGATTTTTGGTTAAAAAAAGAGAAGGTAAATAACTCTACTCATTTACTGTCTTTACATGCTTCAATAAACTAATAAGTATCATTATGGGGGTGGGGCTGAGAACCAATGGGGAAAAATGGATGTTAAATAATTGAATGGGATGAAAGTTTGTGACTCAAAGACATCACATTTTATATCCATGTACATTTTATTTTTATTTTTTATATTCTTAATCCTCACCCTAGGATATGTTTATATCGATTTTTAGAGAGAGAGGGAAGGAGAGAGAGTGAAAGAGAAACATCGATCAGTTGCCTCCTGTATTCGCCCTGACAGGGATTGAATCAGAAACCTAGGTATGTACCCTGACTGGGAATTGAACTGGAACCTTTTGGTGCATGGAATGATATTCCAACCAATTGAACCACCCAGCCAGAGCATCCATGTACATTTTAGTACTGACTTGTGTGGTGGTGATTAGGGAAATGGTATTTTATATTGGTAGGTGCTGGGTAAAAAAGCTGAGAAGCCAGACACTAAGGAAGCTTAGAATGCAGATCTAATGCTGATGAAGTTCACTGCAGCTGTTTCCACCTTTCTAGTCACACTCTCTGTAGAGGCTAACACTCCCTTGAACTGACTGAGTCAAACCACATATCCAGGCAGTCAAGAATAAAAAGAAAAAAAGACACAAAGAAAACAGATCAGTTATTTAATTAGGTTCTTCGTAAGAAATTTAGAACACCAGTTTGTGAGGATAAAGCCCATTGGTGAAAGCAAACACAGAGCAGAGGTTGCCCTAGACTAGAGCCAAGGAATTGCTTTGATTTTTGGCTGAATTTCCGAGTCCATGGCTTTCTGGTCAACCTTGTCTTGGTCTGTAATCTCGTATTTCTCTTTCTCTCTGTCGAAGACCTCATCCTCCTGGTGTCTGGGCTTTCGCAGCTGCTTCTTGAAGGAAACATCAGTGAGATGTTTGGGGATTTCACACCACTGACATCAGTCTTGGTGGAGGTGGCGATGATGAATTTCTGGTGTGTTCTACACAGAGGAACTCGGTTAAGGGACAGAGGTTCAGTTACAAGTAGCAGGCCACTGCTCTGCTGCTTCAGGAAAACCACCCTCTTGCCTCTGGGGCGCTGGTGAGGAAGATCAGAATGGTCCCGGGAGTGATGCTGGCCCGCAGTTTTCTCATATGCTGACAAGGGTTTCTTGTCGTGGCTCAACAGCTTTTGAGACACATCTTCAGTAGGATAATACCCAGGCATTTTGTGAAGTTTAGCCACTCGGGTACCACCAACTGGTATTGTGACACTAGCAAGAGCTTTCTCCTTTTTGTTTTCAACCCTCGATTTAGCTGCTGAATTCTTCCTCTAGTACATGGCCTTTTGGGAATGCATAGCCGACTGGGAATATCTGCCAATTCCTCAGACTAGGACAGGGTTTCAGCCGCAGTGGGGCTTCCCTGTCTTAGGCATCTTGGCCATGAGGTTACCCTTCTTAACCTTGCCACCAGCATTGGCCTTCTTCGCTTCAGGTTTCTCCTCCTTAGTATCTGGCTTCTCAGTTTTTCACCCGCCTTATTGCAAGATGAGAAAGAGCAAGGAAATCTTTGTGTATTAATGAACATCTCTTGTGACGCCCATGTAAATTAATTTTGCCAAATAGAAAGAACACACCAAATTAATGATATAAGTAAGAATGCAGAACAAGCCTATGTGGTCAAGTCTATACTCAAGGGGTAGGAACTGGCCAGGAGGGGCAAAGCAAGCAGGAATGATACTTGCCCTGCTGCCATTTGACTTAGCACATCATTTACCACAGTCATAAAAAAAGACAAACAAAGCAAAACAACAACAAAAAAACCTCCAAATACTTGGCATTCTTAAATAAATTTTAAAAAGACAGAAACACCCAGTTTAATACTAGTTTCTAAAATCTAAATGAAGACCTGAGACCTTGTTGTAAGCTGCTAACTACCTAAAGCACACAACTTTATTCCTAATTTTTCAGTATTGGTATCTACAGACTGATGACAACGCTTGATATACGGTAATTATGTAAGGAACAAGCTACTATCTTGGCAACTTTTTTTTTTTCTTTCTAAAGACCTTCCGTATTCTTTGGAGAGCTCAATTGTTCTCAAGTATGGTCTCTCTTGCAAAATAGTGAAAGTACTAATTCTTTTCTTAGCGGTTTTGTGTCTGAGTTCTCCTTTCACAACTGGTAATGGTTGAAGCTGGGTGGAAGGTACTTCAGGCCCTTTTACTCTTCTCTCCAATATTGTATATAGTTGTCTTTTGGTATCTACAGGGGATTGGTTCCAGAACCCCCATGGACACCAAAATCCAAGGATGCTCAAGTCCCTTATATAAATGGCACAGTATTTGTATATAACCTATTTACATCTTCCCATATACTTTAAATCATCTCTAGAGTGTCTAAAATACCCACTACAATATGAATGCTACATAAATAATTGTTACACTGTATAGTTTAGGGGATAATGGCAAAAAAAAATCTGTACATGTTCAATACAGAGACAGTAATTATAGGCCTAACTACATAGTACACATCAACCACAGCATAGCATTTTTTTTTATCTGAATATTTTTGATTTGCAATTGGTTGAATCTATGATGCAGAATCTGCAAGTGCAGAACCTGCAGATTCAGAGGGTCGGCAGTATATGCTCACATTTCTATAATTAAAAATGTATAGATAGGGCTATATAGAGTATCAAAGAGCTATAGAGTTATTGTCAGTGCTTTTATGCAATGACATAAGGCTTAGTCTAATTTTAACTAGTTTCCAAACTTGAAGGCTACTGTGAGGCTGTCCGTGCTACCAGTATAAATGGCAGACCATGGTAAAGAGAGCACTGGTGTTGGCTGCCTGGAACCAAGGAAAGTTATCTTTTGTGGTTCTGAAGCTGGTGTTTTCTGGCTTTACTAGTGAGGTTAGGTTCCTCAATCTCAAATAGCAATGAAGGGAGCCAGAGTTTCCATATTATTTGCTACGCTCAGTGTGCACATCAAAAACAGATCCAAAAGCTATGGCAACTGAAAAATATTTGTTTTAATCAGTGTTTGGGAAACAAATGCTGGTATTTGGCTTCAGGATTGGCTTCTTCAGCATTGATATTGGCAGATCCAATTCACGATAAAGTCCTACAGCAATTGTGGTGTTTTTTAAAACCCCATATGGACTTACTCGAAAAAAACTGCTTGGTACATTTGCACATTTTTATTTCCTGGAGGTTCCTTTGGATTTGTTTGGCTCTGGTATCATGATTATTTAAAATATTTTCCCTTTAAATATAAGAACAAACTTGTTACATATAGTCATATATATGTATTTAACAAGTATTGATTGATCTACTAGTATGAGGCACTTTTCTTAGAACTCTGGAAAAATATAAAAATGAATCCGATAAGTATTGTCCTCTCAGCAAAGTTTGAGCCCCATAGGGGGCACATGTTATGGGCCAGACATTGAGCTAGGTGCTGGGGAATCGGAGGTGAATATGCAAAGTTCCTGACTTCATGCTGCTGCACATAATCAAGACAGATAAGTCTAGAGAATAGAGAAGGATTTGTGGAGAAAATGACCTTGAAGCTGGAAGTATAAGGGACAAATTAGAGTTAGCCAGACAAAGTGG